TCAAGTCGGCTGCAGTGCGGACGTTCCCCAGAGTCTGTTTCCCGGGGCGTTTCGATCTCGTCGTATGTCGCACTGCATATATCTGCGTTACCCCACTGACCCTGTCCATCTAGGGCTCATCTCATCAGCTGTTTCACATCTGCAGTGTATTAGCCGTCTCATTCCATTACATTGCAACAGTAGAGGCGTTCCACTATCGGCATGTCGCACTTGTGGGTGCTTGCCCCAATTGAGGTCACCCTGCCTCAGAGGCTCGGAAGGGACATAGAGTGCTTAGTAGTGGTTGGTTCACTATCATGAATTCCCTATCATTATTGCGAAGAATATTTTTGACTCTCAGCCAATCCAGTGACGAAGCATTTCTCCGCATAGTACTCACCTAGCAGTGTGTTGGGCCATCCTCTCCGAATGTCTTCGTTCGCGGCAGCGATTCCACACCATGTAGGTGCTTGCTGTCCTGCCAGTTATCACCGCCAATAATGTAGCTACTGTGTCATAATTCAGCTACATGTTAGACTTCATTAGCTTCGCTACCTGAACGTGAACGGGCGCTTATAGAATGAGCCTGGGCAGCAAGTCTCGTTCCGTCCACGATGTTCAGCACCACCGGACCCGGATGAGAACGCAGGAAACACTGGCCTAGCTTCCATCGTCCGCGCCCAAAACCGTTCTGAACGCTCCTTAACCTTGCCCGACACAACACAAAGCGTCTACGATGATTCGTCTTCGGTTTGCTCCTTCTCCCACTGGGTCATTACACCTCGGCGGCCTCCGTACTGCCTTGTACAACTATCTCTTTGCCCGAAAAAACGGTGGAGAATGGATTCTGCGGATTGAAGATACAGATACGGCGAGTTGGGCGACAGTCCTACGGAGGACCGTAAGCTAAAGCGTTCACTGCCAGACGAGAGCAGTCCCAGGGGCTGTGGACAACATCCGAAGCGCGTTAGCATGGGCTGGTTTAGAATATGACTTCGGTATGTGCGTTCTATAGAGCGGGGGTGCATGAGAGATGACGGTAGTACGCTCCAGGTCCAGGAAAACACGGCCCTCACGGCCCCTACTTCCAAGTGAGAATGTCAGACTAATCATCGAAGCAAATGCTGAAGCCATGGAAGTCGGAGCGACTATCTCTATACCATTCCTACGCGAACAAATTACTCGAGGTTCGTGTGCATACAACGACAAGTAATGGAAGTCCGCGACCTCAAGTTCATTTTGCAGTCTGGACGCGCCTACCGCTGCTTCTGCTCCCCGGATAGGCTGCAAACGACGCGTGAGCGACTTGCTCGCTCAGGCTCCAACTCGACGTACGACAAGACATGCCTCAGTCTTACTGATGAAGAGGTCGCACGACGCGTGCGCGCAGGAGAAAAGTCTGTCATCCGGCTGGACGTGAGTCACACTAGGCTTGCGCAAACTTCGTTCTACATTCCCTCTCTTCTAGGATAGCAACCTGCCCCGTCGTGCTACTCCACCTGATCTCGTGTTCGGCAGCCTCAAGGATGCACATGCATCTCTGCCTACAGACCCGGTTCTGCTCAAGTCGGATCTGTTCCCGACCTACCACCTGGCTTCCGTTGTAGATGACCATGAAATGGGAATAACCCATGTCTTGCGTGGGGAGGTGTGTGCACAACTCTATTATTAAATATCGCTTTTCTGACACAGCATCAGGAATGGCTTCCCTCGCTGCCTCTCCATCTTGACCTCTACGCGTCGCTTTCACTCGAGCCGCCGCAGTTCGCACATCTGCCTCTTTTGCTCAATACAGATGGAACAAAAATGTCCAAGCGGAAAGGTGACGTTCAAGTGTTCGACTACAAGGTGCATGCAACCCGCTCCTTTTCTGACATTCGCGCGTAACGAGTAACTGCTAGAGGCGAGGCTGGGAACCAGGGGCGATTCTTAACTGGCTCGCGCTCGCCGGATGGGGTCATATTCACGCAGAAGTGGGCGAGGCTGCTTCGAGCAAGCAAGCCCCGGACAGCACGGCCGTCATGACGCTTCCCGAGATGATTCGCGAGGTGTGCTGTATTGCACTCTCCACTCTTGCTGCTATCACTGAAATGCAGCGCGACAGTTCGACCTGACAGCGTTGACGCACCGTCGCACTGTTCTTGACCCGATGAAGCTAGAGTACCTCAACAAGCATCATCTTATGCGCACGATGTCCGCAGACGATGGCCTCACGGAGCTCGCGGAGCGCGTGCACGACACTGTAAAGGCCGCATATCCGCTAAGGTGCGCCTGCGCCCTTTCGCGCTTCTTCGTGCCACTGACCGTTCCGAAGCCCGCACACCACAGTGCCGTACATCAAGCGCGTTATACAGTCGCTGCAGGTCTGCCGCTTCTTTATTCGGCGGCCAGTATGATTCTTAATGAAATACGCAGGGCCGACTCACGAACCTGCAAGATACTCCCACAGTCGCGCCGTACTTCTTCGTTGACCCGGACCTGACAGCCGCCGAAGCGCAGACGATGTACAAGTCGGTCGCGCCTGAGGAACGTGGTGAGTTCACGCCTGGTTTGGAGTTTAGCTGTACCGACCAACGTGATGTCTTAGCGAAAATCGTGTTTGCTGTCGTCACGCGGCTGCAGGATTCTGAGTTACAGTGGGATATCACGTCGCTCAGTGCGCTCCTGCACGACGAGGTTGCCAAGCTTGGCGTGAAGTCAAAGGTTCTGATGACGGTCGTGAGGTGCCAGCTGACGGGCATGAAGGTATGTAAGGCCTAGCAGTTCCGTGTTCTATTGGCTTTGCTAACCAGGACGGTAACAGACCGGTCCTGGCATTGCAGAGATCATGGTCTTGCTTGGCAAAGAGAGGACACTGGAGCGCATGCGCGTCCAGGCACCATGAAGCCCTCCATCTCACCGCCCTCAACCTCAATGTCAGGACTGAATATATTAATCTTGCGTATCAACAGAAATGCATGTTAGGCTACAAATGCAGTATACAGGAAAAGTGGTACAGATGTGACGTAAGTTGCTAGGGTTCTAGATGCGGGCGGTTGGATAGTGAACTAGTGGGTGGCACATGGAAGGCACGGAAGCGTATATACGACAAGAGCGAGCGGGCCATGTCTAGTTTTCAGTCAGAAGGATGTACGCCAGGTGGAAGATCACAGAGACTCCCAGCCGCCGTTGTCTACCGTGCTTTCGAGTCTGCGGGCGATCAGCGTAGGGATGCCGTGATGCAACCACAGGCGGCGAACTTCTTCCCAGCGAGCGTGGTGTAGGTACTGTCTGCGGCCGCGTCTGCAGAAGACGGCGAGTGAGTACGTATATTGAGAAGGAGAGGAAGAGCTTACCTCATAGAGATATCTGCCTCTCCGTGAACATCGAGGTAGGGCGACTGCCCGAAAGTGCCGTTGTTTGCGTAGAGGTACAGCATCGAGCAGCGCTTCACGAGAAAGTAGATGCCAACGGGGCCCGAGCATCTGAGAGCACAAGTTAGCGCGCGTAGAGCAGCAGACAATCGAAACGACGCACTCCCTCATATGCATATTACACTCGCCCTTGCCCTGATTCTCGTGGTCGACGCAGCAATGGCTTTGGAAGCAGACAGTCGTGCCACAGGTGAGGCATATGGCCGCATCTGGGGGGACCGTCTTGCAGCGCGGACAAATCATTGCCTTCTCCTGCTCCAGGAAAAGTGTATCCAGGATAAGCGGGAGCTTGACGATCTGATATAAAAGCGGGTAGTCCAGCACGACCCCACAGTTGAGCTGCGTCGCCGCCGGTGAATGGCCGTAGTGCGCGCACCAGCCTGACAAGGCGTTCTGGAGGGTGTCCTGATTCGGCAGATCAGAGAGGGGAGGGATCTCCAGCATCTTGAGCAGTCGACGATACTCGCAGGCATCGTCGTTCACGGTAGCGGAGGGGAATACGGAGGGGAGAATCGCTCGACAAAGAATGGCTGCGCGACGCAAGAAAGGGAGGGTGAAGGTATACATGAGCTTCTCTATTCTTGCGTCGCCAAAGGCTTGGAACGCAACCTCAGCAGCGTGCTCGAAGACCGGTGAAGGTCGGATAACGGACATGAAGAACATCCTGACATCGCCGAAGAGGTCTTCATATTGACGCGGTGGAGGTGTCGCCGAAGGTACGGTTCGTGTCTTGTTCAGGATGTAGAGCAGGCCAACTACAGTACGAGCCAAGCACGCATAGTACGTTAAGACCAGGACATGCTTGATGATTTCGGGTGCGATGCAAGCCGTCTCAGCCAGGATTGTGAAGGGATCCCTGAGTAGCAAAGGGTAAGAGTACGACGTGAACGAGGAGCGGCTCCATTCAGGCAACAGTCGCTTGATGATGGCCTGTTTCACCGCGTCGCGGCCCTCGTCTGGTCGGCCCTTGAAGTGGAGCGCAGACAGTTGGCCAAGAGAGGTGACCAGTCCTTGAATCATCTTACTCTGCGATTCTGTCAGAGTATCCGCGACAGTGCTCCCGGAGGCGCCTGTACCCCGCTGCGCGACTTCAAGACATGCAATAGTGTAACAGACCAGCTCCTCGGGAAGGTACATGCCAGCACCACGTTCTCCCATCTCAGGCTCAGGCCGATCTCGTAGGTGCCGAGTTTGCGAGGAGACGGTCTTGACCACGGCCATAATGGAATCGACCATCTTGAGCATAGGAGGTAGCTCTCGGTCGTACGGTTTCACAAATTGTTGATATGCGGGATCCATTGCACCCCAGAAGACAAACTCGCCGGTGCCATTGCGTGACTGCAGGGATTCAAGGAGCGGGTCAGGCTTCGACTTGAGGATGCTGATCCCGGCGGCGCGGATCCAGTCAGGGAAGGGAACGGTATTCAGCTCAACCGGGCTGGGCGCCGTTACCACAGGAATGATGGCGTTCCCTAGGCTCTTGCAGAGCGGACAGATGTATTCCTTTCTCGGAATGCTCTCAGGATGGTTCCTTGTGGTTTGCGTGCGATGTCGTTGGCGGATGGAAACGTTATAGACCACGAAGCACTCCAGGTGCATCAGATGGGTGCAAATGGACGCATGCAGGCCAAAGCGTGTCGAGTGGAGCGGGAAGCCCTCAAGGCTCACTGTGCGGGCTTCCGATTCCGCCTTAGCCGGAGGGAACGAGCTGTCGATTGGCTCGGACGATGAGCGGTCCATATCTTCCTGCGCAGTTAAGACGTCGCTCATGTGTCCCTGCTGCGTCTCTGGATAGCGACGGAGGAACCGGCTCGGTTGGATGAGAGCAAGGGCACCCCACCCGCGCGAGTTGTTCAGTTCCTCCTGACAAACAATGCAGGTGCCGTAAGACACAGGAGCGTCTGTGTGTTCCATATCCTCCTCTTCGTCTTCGTCTTCTAGGTCCTCGAACTGATTGGCAAAACTCGCTTGCTGGGCCTTCATCTGTTTCATGAGAGCCTCCTGACGCGCCTTCGCGGCACGCTTCTTCGCCTCCTCGGGGTCGACTTGTACGGCAGGTTCCGGTACCTTGCGGGCCTGAACTTCTTGGGGTTGATACAGCTCGAACTGTGACAGGATCCACCCTACGCGAGACTTGTAGTTTTTGTGATAGGTGGTATTCCGCTCCAGCGAGCATACGACGTCGAGAAGTGTCTGACTCTCCTCAAAGATCTTGTTGACGGCGATGTAGCTGAACGACTGAGGCCGCTCGAGAAGGGCCAGCATAAGCAGGTGGAGACATTGATCAAGGATGGCTTCAGCGGAGGGCGGTGCGGAGCCCGTCGCTTCAGTGATGCTGATTACGTTGAAGATGCCGTAGAAGATAACCTGGAGCAGGACCTCGGATTCGAATACAGAGGAGAGCACAGCAAATGGTCCATGAGTGATATTCAGCGGCTTCGGAACGAGTACAGGGTCCTCGACATTAGTGCGCTTCTTGAGGCGGTTCTTGAGAACGACTTCGACTTCTTCACGTTTGTTCCGAGTATGGTGATAGAAGAAAGGGTTGACCTCGTCGAAGGCTTCATCCTTAAGCTCGTACATGCCTGAGTCTGTGGTAGACTCTGGGGCCTTGAAGTTGGCAACATCCTTGAGGACACGGTCGAAGCAGACGTCGTCGGACTTCCGCTCGGCAACGCGCTTCACCAGCTCTGTGTATGTGCAAGGACCCAACGCAAGTGCATGGACGATCTCTCGCCTGACGGACTGCGGCAATGGCATTTTCGTCGCATTCGCAGTCTCCGTGAGAACAGTGATAAGCACATAGAGGAATTCTTCGACCATATTCGCCATCTGCGTGTTGTCGTAGACGTGGTGGAGAGTAGCCCCAGAGAAGTAACCCGTGAGCTGGAAGCGATCGAGCATGGTAACAATGACAGAGTTTGGGTCGAGGATAACCATCGCCGTCTGGAGGATAAACAAGTCCTGGTCGTAGCAGAGCTCCCGTAGCATGAAGTCGCGATAATGCATAACTTGCCCTCGGATGGCAAAGCCGTTTCGTACCCACAGGCCAGCGCGTATTTGCGCAACCATCGCAATAACTAGGATAGCTGAATCAGTAATGTATGAGGACAAATACTCGAAGACGCGTACCTCGTAAAGGGTAGTCAATGATAGTCTGAATAGCCTGCACACTAGCATTGCGCAAGCAGACCTCGCGTAAGCTGCCCATGCCAATCTCCCGCAGATGATCGTCGTCCAGAAGGTCGACGTGTTTGAACAGCTCTGCAAGCAACCACTGAAGCGAGTGGTGGAAGCTGACCCAGCCCTCCATTACATCAAACTCGACGACCTCGTACGTGGTATCGCCAAAGTTAGCATGGTGGAACGACACTCGAGGAAACCTCGTTGGATCTCGCTCGTCGTTATGAAGAGCGGAGACCATAAGGATGTGATGCATGACCGTCGAGATTGCATTCACGAGCTCCGTAGCCGTCGCCCTGGAAAACGCCTCTCCGTAGACCTTGATAACCCGGGAAAGCGACAGGGTAACGTTGAACACGCTGATCCAGACGTCCGTTTCGTACTCGACATGGCTAACCACGGCGCGTTTGTTCGGATTAACGCACATGAAGAGCTGACACACCCGCGCGAACTGCTGAATGAACTCGCGATTGTGCGCGATCAGCTGCTGCACAGGGTCATTGTGGCAGAGGTACCGCAGGTCACTGAAGATTGTCATGAATCGCTTCGACTTGAATGGCATCGCGTCAACGTCCACCTCCGCTTGCGGGTTGGTTGTAATGACGATACGGTTGTCCTGGATCTGGTTTGTGAAGAAAGACGTGATGATAGAGAGTAGCCGTGATACGACGCTGTAGTTGCGAACCAGGTAGAGCGCTACGGAGGGCACAGTGAATAGCTGGAGAGCGAAGTACTTGATGGATGTCTCCGCTTCACGGTCAGTCAGTAGATATGCGTCTATGACTCTGCTGTAAACGTTGGCGAAATGCGTTGCTGCGTACAATTAGTAAGACTCATGGCGACAGAGTCAAACGGCACACACCCATGGCGAGCTTGTGATCGTGGCTCAGGTTGAGAAGCGAGGCGTATATCTCCTTGAGGTTGAGCCGTGGCTTCTTCCACAAGCGTACGTGATACAAAAAGAGCCAATCAAGCCTCGCGGGGTCGCTCACGTCCGCAATGAAGGCATGAGAGTCGGTGAATCCTCGTGCGTAGGTCTGTCTCCTCGGTGAAAGCAGTTCTTGCGCTATGATCTCCCGGATGGCGAGTGTATCAGACCCAAGACGACTGCGAGTGAGGTCCAGCAGCCATTCGATTATGACTGCGCTGACTTGTTCGCGGAAGGTGTCATATGCGCGACGGATGGTCACGCCCAAGTCGATCTGTTGTATCGTCTGGCCCATCTCGAGCAGCCGCGGAATGTTGCTGTTCATCTCGATAATCTCCCGGCCCTGTTCGTCTATGCCGTCCGCGATGCCCGACGCCTCCTCCCGTGTACGCGCAGTCATGTCCACGAGTAGCCGGATGACCTCGTCGAACGAGTGCTTGTCGTCGTTCCAGAGTACTACGCAAAACTGGTCCTTCATCATCATCGGATCTCCCGTAGGCTGTTTCCACAGGTACTCCTCCTTCGGCGGCGCGCCTGTGACCTCGGGAGAGTAGTCGAAAGTGTCGAGAATGTAGTCTATGGCATAACCTATCGTCCTGCTCATCGATTCGCGCAATTCGTCAGGGATCGCCGCGCGGTCTGGGTAGTTCTTCACTGGCGGGACCTCAGACCCGGGGATGACACGAGGCGTTATCTTCGGCGTCGACTGAATCATCTTGGCTGTAAAGTCCTTGATGCGGTCCACGCTCTCGGCGGTTGGGGGGTGGTAGGGGCAGTTTATGGGGGACCTCCAAGCCTCTACGTCTCCGCAATCGCAACATCCTCCGGATTGCTGAGCGATGAAGAAGCTAACGCTGTGGTCTGTGTGGTCTGTCGCCTCAAAACATCTTGAGCAGAACACACAGCTGTCGTCCAGGGCGCAATCCCTAACGCATATAGTCGGTCAGACGACACACCCTCAGCTAGACGATCAGTGTACACGCACTTGCATCGGAAGCACGCCTCGCCCTTCTTGAAGATATGCCCGCACGGCCTACCAGGAGTAATGGATGGCTCTTTGGCATTGCCTGCCTTGGCCTGCACCTCGCTCAGGGTGACGTTCAGAGGAAGACTGGAGTTGGAGTTGGGTAGGAATAGGTGCGCATACGACGCCCAGAACGAGTCGTACAGCTCCGCGAGAATCTCCGCTCGTGTGGAGGGCGTAAAGACGTACTTGCGCGATCCAGGCATAGTGTCGAGTGCAAAGCGCAACCGCGCTAGCGAGTTGGACTGGTTTCCGCGGTCGCGAGGCTGCATCGAGCCCAGGAACTTAGAAGGGAAGAACGAGGAGAGAGAGGACATTCTGGGGGATGCCCACAAGTCCCTCGGCGGATCGTCAGTCCAGAGATATGAAAGCGAATCAGATTGTGTGGCACTACAAGGTTGGTCGAGAGAAGGTACGTCCTCCCTCTCTCATCGCTTGGGCACCAGGATATCGCGTCATCCAGGTTAGGGTTGCCATTTCTTGGGTTAAGGTTCTGCATTTGGGTTAAGTCTGAATCGGCCAATAGCGTAATGTAGATTTCAAGCCAATTTGTGAACACTTGGTCAGCTCTGGCGTGGATGACACAACTTCACTCGGTCTTAGGTATCAGGACCAGATTAAAGCGAGATGAGAATACATTAGAGATAGTTTGCTGTATAACGAGCACATAAAGTAGCCAACCAGGCGCACAGCCCTAAAAGGCGGATACGCACTCAGAGAGCTACGAATGTATGATACATGCACTTGATTTGCGTGGGATGCGGGTGGTATCTGCAATGTCCGTGCGTATGCTTGAGTTTGGGTCACCCCTGCAACATGTCGGCGCCACCTCTGCCGACCTACACACCAGCCAATGCTGGAAAAACAGCCGAGCCGCACCTGCAACACCTAAACTTCCAACAACAGATGATAAATGTCGACCGAAAGCCCAAGGATAGAAGCCGGAAGACAAGACGAAGTTGATGCGATTGCGAACGGACAATCCATATCGCCAATGATCACGCGAGGTAGGTCAGAAGCCCCCGAAGCAGCCGACGTCTGGCACATCCAGCGTGCAACCCGCGAGCATACTCCGTTCTGAAAGGTTCTTGTACCGCGTCTCGAGTTCGCTCGGGCTAACAGGGCTACCCACGCACTGCCTACTCCGTCTCGACTTCGAATGCGACCTCCTGCGACGCGATGGAGATGACGACGGGTTAGCGTCGCGGCACGGGGAGTGTGAACGAGAAGAGGCGGGGTGCGAGGGGAAACGCGAGAACGAGGCGAACGCTCGTGAACGGAAGGGCAAAGGGGTTGTCGGGCTCGATATCGGGCTGATGTACAGCGCTGGTTCTTGTTGGGGAATCGGCACGCCTGGATGCGATGACGTCGCTTTCGTGTGCATGGAAGAAGCTACAAGGGAAAGGCGCAGATCTTGTTAGCATACATGTTTGGCAACGCGGGAAGGATGGAAAAGCGACAGCAGGGCCGCAGATAAGAAGATGGGAAAGGTTAACAAAGCGAGAAGCGCGGATACTTACATATTGGCGCACTATCAAGCGGAGGACTTGAGAAGCCGTCCGATTCGTCAGACTCTGACGAAGACGACACGTCTGGAACAAGCGGAGGCAGTGAATGTGAGTGCGTGCCGCTGCTTGTCAAGGCCCTCGGTGTAAGCTCCTCGTCCTCGTCCGCGGCACCGTATGGCATTTGCACGCGCACCGCACGTGGGTGGAGATGCCTGCCTGCAGTGCTGTACCCCGCCGGGCTGCCATCGTCCGCTTTGGACTTGGTTGGAGCGTCCCCAGGCAGGTAGGTCTTGCCTGGGCAGCCGCGCGCGGGGAGTGAGCATTTGTTCGGCGTAACGACGATGGGTGAGCGGTCGTATATTGAGGGGGAGTATGCGGTGAAGGTGCGCGTCAGACTGCTTGTGGAAGGGAAGCGGACGAGCGGCTGGAGGACCGAGGGGTCAATGCTCAGCAGCTGGGCTGACTCATCTCGGGGAGAGAGGACGGACGGTGTCGAGGGCACGTCGCTCGATGAGGGAGCGTAACGCTTCTTGAGGATGGGGCGGGGACACGGGCATGTAGTGGGCAACGGCATCGTGGGCAGGGTCGTAGGGGCTTCAAGCATACGAGTGGTGAAGCGTGCAGGAAAGGGTGTGTTGTGTTGGATTGCAGGAGGGGTATATGAAGGGTGTGGCGATAGTCTCAAAGCGTGAAGATGGTGTATGTAGGACAGTTGCGGTATATCGGTGATTGGTCCCTTCGGTGCTTGGGAAGCGGAGGGGCAGTCGGAGGGATGAGAGAGCTTTCGTCGGGAAACGGAGAGAAGACCCCTTGAATAGTCGAAAGGCGACCGGGGGAGTGTGCGTTAGCAGATGATATTCATGTTGAAGACCGAGAAGATATGAGAGGGTGTGCTGAGCAGCGAATTAATATATGCAGGAGAGGGAGAGGTCGATGCGAGAAAACCTAGAAAGAAAAGCGTTCGACCGTGCCGGTCCCTGCCCGAAACAAAACCAGCAAGCGCCCCGGGACCGCCTGTCTGGCGACCCCGGCGCCACCCCATGCTCGCCGTCCGCACCGCCCGATGAACCCCGGCTGTCAGATGCAGAGCCTGCTCATTGTCGTCGACGTCGACGACAATAACTGGAATTTTGCTGCGCACGCTTAGCCGGCACTCTTTCGCTTGTTTTTCTTTCGCAATTATTGTCTGGCCGTGGTTCCGCGTCGCGGATCCCATCTGACTCTCATCTCGGCGCCGGCAGTGCATGCATGGCGCATCGTCGAAATCAGCAATCAGGTCCTTTCTGGCTTCAGAGTGCTTAGCGTAGTCCCTCCGGTCCCCTTCCCGGTCCTCTCTACCACGCCCAATTCAGTCGACTTTGTGCCACGCAGCGGTGAACCCATGACCATCCCCTAGTCGTCTGTCTCTCATCCGTCGTGCTCTACCGTATCCAGCGCGCACGGGCAGTTATCGCTCTGGCATGTCCTTGTCCTTTTCCCACCAGGCTGCTTCAAGCACGACTGATCATCACGCAGGTACAGCTTCCAGCGCGTGTGTCCACGGTGGACACCCGAGTGGCATGCAGAGTTCCCCCTCTGTCTCGTTCGTGTTTACTCTGCGCCGAATATACCTCGCCTCGAGGCTCCCCCGGTAATCACAATCACCAAGCAAAATCCACGCTCGTCTTCCCCTACTGGCTCGCCGCCACCGACTTATCTACTCGCTCTGCTAGTCTGTAGCCCTGACTGTGCTCTTCACACTCGTCATCGCATCCGCTTTGCACCCTCGAACGTTCCAAATCAGCCTATTCCCACGCTCTGTCTTGCTATACTTGAGTGCGCGTTGTACTTTACGGCGCATCGGCCGCGCGGAGGGGTTCCCGAGCATCAACCCTCTGCCGTACATACGGGTGTGCGCGTGCTACCTAAGAAAAAGAACGCGGCTGTGGAAATGCTTGTTCGCTCGCCCGACTGCTTCTTCCCGCGCAGCACACGTATGACGACCGACGATCCGTCGAGCCGACCCGTTCTTAGTGCCCCGATCCCGTCCGGCTAGTCAGAACATTCCCAGTTGACGGCGCCCCGAACCGCGGCGCGTACGAACAGCCTCAAGGATCGAAAAATCTTACGAGGACCTCTCTCTCGTGATGACGTCTCCCGCAGGGAGAACGGTGGTGCCTGCAGATTTCCAGCCTCGCGATTCTGCTGTTTGGCTGTGTGCTCCTGTGCTTTTGCCAACGTGGGTCTCAGCTCATGGCGACCGCCCGCCGTTCGCCATCACCGTGGGGGACAACCCCCATCGTTAGTTTCAGCTTGGCGCACTCAATGCCAAGGCGATTCATTAGTTTCGGACGTGCATTAGCCAAAGCCCCGAAGCGGTGCTTGTGAGCGTGCGCCGCGTGCGCCCATTTGACGATCCGAGCCTCCTCAAGCACCGGCCTCGGAGTGCATTTCTGAATGATACGGGTGCCGCGCGCCATAAGCCACTGCGCCGGTAGGAGGTTCGTGGTCGCAATCGAGCGCGATCGTGATACAAAGTTCGTTCTCTGTGTACGCAGGGCCATGCTCTGGTAATCGCACGGGACCGCCGCTGTCTATAACGGGAAAAACCATGGGGTAGCCTGGGCATGCCAGAGCCTCGAGTTCTTCATTCGCGGCATCTAGAAGACGTCGCAAAACCTCCGTCCAGGGGCCCCAGGACCAGTCCAGATGTCTGTTCGACAGGCTTCGCGTATCCGTGCATAGAGGCGGCCGTGGGTAGCGGAGACAGATAGGCACCAAGGGTTTGCTGAGAATCCGTCCGGTCAAGTGAGAGCCCGACAGGGACAAGGTCTGAACTTAGTCTCTAACACTTCGACACCGGGAAATGGACAATGTAGCACGGTAGCATTCCAATGAGCGTCGCGACGGACAGACATCTCCGCGGGCAGTACCGACCACTCTCCGTTGCGCGCGTCCAGCGCCAAGCGACTTCTAGTGAGGCCAAAGGTGAAGCCACCAATAATGGCTCCATCTTGGCGTCGCGCCCTTACGCGAAACGCGGCGAAACACCCACACGCATCCACCATCGCCTGTGAATGTATGATAACACCCTTCCAGTGCGCCGACAGCACCGCTGGAAGGACACCGCATCTGTCGCATTTCGCACCGGAGGTGCAGGTCATGCGCTCCGAACTAGCTCTACTGCATGATAGACGACAGAGCGTTAGGCCCTCGCTAGAACAGGGCACACCTGCTGTACACCGCCGGCGCGCCGTGAGGTATAAATGAGTTGATGCCGTTACCGAACAGTTCGCTGCGCGGTACGTGACGCGCGTCTCCTCGTTACCTAACTGTCAGAAAGATAAGTAAATAACATCAGTGCACCGTTAGGCAAGCTCTAACGGTTAGCTAACGAGATTGGGTAACGGGCTGGTCTTTCCATATTCCCGAGGTGTTCTGCAGCGGGGTTTGAATATGTCGGCAGTACCCGTTTGAATAAATTACACATTTTCCATTGAATTTTCGCTCTATTTGCATGAAAATTTGACAATAAAAAGCAATATATTCCTGACAAAACTAGGGAAGATACAAAGCTCTAGGGATTATTACTACACTACAGTACATGCTAATCTTCCAGACAGACACTGTGCTTAGTACTCTTCACATCTGTCATGACTTGCTGAGACTTGCATGGATACCCTGCACAAAGCTAAAAGTGTGAGCCCTTAAAACACAACAGCAGACTTATGAGCTT